CACCGCACCTCGTACTCATTTGGGGCTGCGTCGACCTATAAGTGGAGGCCCACGACCGGTTCAGATAATAATCGTCACTGGTGTTGGCGGTGGGCGAGAATCGAACCAGGACCATCTGTTTTGTAGCGCAGCACGCTAACCGCTACACTACCGCTCCTCAGGGTCACACATACAGTGAGGGAAAAAAGTATTTGATCCCCTGCTGATTTTGTACGTTTGCCCAATCACGAAGAAATGGTCAGTCTATAATTTTAATGGTAGGTTTATTTGAACAGTGAGAGACAGAATAGCAACAAAAAAAATCCAGAAAAACGCATGTCAAAAATGTTATAAATTGATTTGCATTTTAATGAGGGAAATAAGTATTTGACCCCTCTGCAAAACATGACTTAGTACTTGGTGGCAAAACCCTTGTTGGCAATCACAGAGGTCAGACGTTTATTGTAGTTGGCCACCAGGTTTGCACACATCTCAGGAGGGATTTTGTCCCACTCCTCTTTGCAGATCTTCTCCAAGTCATTAAGGTTTCGAGGCTGACGTTTGGCAACTCGAACCTTCAGCTCCCTCCACAGAGTTTCTATGGGATTAAGGTCTGGAGACTGGCTAGGCCACTACAGGACCTTAATGTGCTTCTTCTTGAGCCACTCCTTTGTTGCCTTGGCCGTGTGTTTTGGGTCATTGTCATGCTGGAATACCCATCCACGACCCATTTTCAATACCCTGGCTGAGGGAAGGAGGTTCTCACCCAAGATTTGATGGTACATGCTCCGTCCATCATCCCTTTGATGCGGTGAAGTTGTCCTTTCCCTTTAGCAGAAAAACACCCCCAAAGCATAATGTTTCCACCTCCATGTTTGATGGTGGGGATGGTGTTCTTGGGGTCATGATGCCAAAGAGCTCCATTTTGGTCTCATCTGACCACAACACTTTCACCCAGTTGTCCTCTGAATCATTCAGATGTCCATTCGCAAACTTCAGACGGGCATGTATATGTGCTTTCTTGAGCAGGGGGACCTTGCGGGCGCTGCAGGATTTCAGTCCTTCACGGCGTAGTGTGTTACCAATTGTTTTCTTCGTGATTATGGTCCCAGCTGCCTTGAGATCATTGACAAGATCCTCCCGTGTAGTTCTGGGCTGATTCTGCACCGTTCTCATGATCATTGCAACTCCACGAGGTGAGATCTTGCATGTAGCCCCAGGCCGAGGGAGATTGACAGTTCTTTTGTGTTTCTTCCATCTGCGAATAATCGCACCAACTGTTGTCACCTTCTTACCAAGCTGCTTGGCAATGCTCTTGTCGCCCATTCCAGCATTGTGTAGGTCTACAATCTTGTCCCTGACATCCTTGGAGAGCTCTTTGGTCTTGGCCATGGTGGAGATTTTGGAATCTGATTGATTGATTGCTTCTGTGGACAGGTGTCTTTTATACAGGTAACAAGCTGAGATTAGAAGCACTCCCTTTAAGAGTGTGCTCCTAATCTCAGCTCGTTACCTGTATAAAAGACACCTGGGAGCCAGAAATCTTTATGATTGGGAGGGGGTCAAATACTTATTTCCCTCTTTAAAATGCAAATCAATTTATAACATTTTTTACATGCGTTTTTCTGGATTTTCTTGTTTATTCTGTCTCTCACTGTTCAAATAAACCTACCATTAAAATTATAGACTGATCATTTCTTTGTCAGTGGGCAAACGTACATAATCAGCAGGGGATCAAATACTGTTTTCCCTCACTGTACACACTGGGCCACACACACACTGGGTCACATATGCTGAGTCACAAACACAGTGTTGTCATTAACACGCAAAGCATTGAGTTGTTTATGTTGGTTATGTTTCTGCACCACCACTTTCAACTAGAAACCAGGTGAATTGTATCCATTCCACACCAACCAATGGATCAAATAATTGCAGGAAATTATGGCAGAGTTTAATGAAGACCGCAGCGTAATCGTGCCAAATACAAAACAAAAACCAATGTTCAACAAGGGAAACATTTTTTTCTTGAACAAAAATATATAAAATATATTGTTGAAGAAACACACCTGGATCAGAGTACACACGCAGGGTAGAGACATCGTCGTTACATTGGTATTCATCGAGTGGAGAGACCATGATGATAATTACAGTGAGAGATGGAGAGAGAAGCTTGTGGAGTAGAGAACAACACGTGTGCTCGTACATGTGTGAGTATGTGTCTTCATAGGAGCAGCGATAGTGTAGCGGTTAGCACGCTACGCTTTGAACCCAGCGACCCGAGTTCAATTCCTGCTCACTGTCAACACCAGTGACGATGATCAGAACCGGTCCTGGGCCTCCCCTAGGTCAACTCAGCCGAAAATGAGTACCTGGTGTGATGTGGATACATCGCCAATAGGGAGACAAAGGCGGCCGGGCGTGGTGTTGGCCACCCCCCCCCCCCTCGTGTGCCATGGCGGCCTTCATAGGTGCTCGCTAATAGCACTTGCCTCAAAAGTCTATTAAGGTTCCATACTCTTTGGTTCTATTCGGTAAAGTCACGTAGGTAAAAAATTAATAAAACAAAAATCACGACGTTTCGGCCACAACACAAGCGGCCTTTATCAAGTGAAGGGACCAACCTGTCCAGCGGACAGCGTTGGAGTGAAGAAAGCCAAGCTGCTGGTCGCCTCCCTTTAAGCCGTGAGGGGGCAAACAGCAAACGCCCTGACAAAGGAAATTATCATGAAACGCACCACTGACAAAGCTTGGAATTAGCACAAGATGATAATACACCACCCTGGGAGTTTGGAATACCACTACTAGAATAAATATACTGTACCATTGAAATTTAAATTTGAAGCTTTCGTGCCTGCAAGGATCCATACTCATTGGTTCTATTAGGTAAAGTCACGTAGGTAAAAAATAAAACAACAAAAATCACGACCTTGGAAGTTTGGAGTGCCACTATTTGAAATAAATATACTGTACCATTGAAATTAGTTTAATGTTTGGTTCGATTTAGAACATCTTTCCAATGGTTGCTTAATTTGAAACCATCTTCTCGGTTGAAATTGTGTCTGTGTTTGTAAATCTGAATTGCCTCTGTCGGTTTGCATAGGACCTTGGTATCGGATAAAATTATATCGTGATCACCCACAGCGTTGAAACAATGATCAGCTACGGCAGAAGAATTCGTTCTGCCGTGTTTCAAATCTGATTTGTGCTCGCGAATTCGGTCAGAGACATGTCGTTTCGTCTCCCCGATATAGCAATCACCACAAGTGCAGCTCAATTTGTAAACCTCGGGGTACTGTAAATCAGGAATGACATCCTTCACGGATGGGATCAGGTCACGGATTTTGTGTACTGTATTGAACCGGACCAGGATCTTGTGTTTGTTTCGAATTTTGGAGATCTTTTTAGTAACGCCTGCTATATATGGTAGTGTGATGGTTTTGACCAGAGTATCAAGTCGTTGTTTCTGTATGGAGGGAGAAACAGCTTTGCGGATGGTACGGTCAGAGTATCCGTTTCTCTTGAGGGACAGATGTACGTGTTTTCATTCACTGGCCAGGTGGTGTTGGTCCGAAATGCAATGAGCCCTGTGGTATAACGTTTTGATGAGATAATTATTTTGAGTCGGGTGGTGGTGGGAATCAGGTTTCAAGTAGGAATCTGTGTGGGTGGGTTTCCTGTAGACAGAATGTCCCAATGAGCCATCAGGTCTCCTCTCAAACAGGCTATAAGGGTATCTTGCACTGTGGTCCTTCATGTGTGGTGTTGCATTTGGTGTTTTAATTACTTCATTTTTAAATTATATTTTATATTCTTTGGGTCTTTTGGTAAAGTCACGTAGATAGGTTCAAAGAAAATAACAAAACCAAAAACTACGTTTCTGATGACGACCGCTTGTGTTGCAATCGAAACGTAGTTTTTTCTTTTTTTTTCTTTGAACCTATCTACGTGACTTTACCGAAAGACCCAAAGAATATGAATTCCTGCAGTAACGAAAGCTTAAAGTAAATTACACTTTAAATTTCGCACGTTTAAAAAGTTGTTCAAGAATGGAAAATGTTGGGGCCGATACGTAGCTCAGCTTTTAATATGGGACGGAATCAATGGGAAAACGATGATCATTTAACGAGTTTTCGCTTTTCGGGCAATTTTCGCGGAAGCTATCTTGCTCGCTAAGCGAGAACCGGTCCGTACAAAGTTTGGTCACTACAGGAGCCGTGCAGTGTTGCGGCCCGTCCCCGCAGGCCCCTACTGCCACCTCTGTAACTCTGCCCACTCTGTAACTCTACCCACTTTGTGGCCCTGCACACTTTGTGACTCTGCCCCCTCTGTGCCTCTGCCCACTCTCTAACTCTGTCCACTCTCTAACTCTGTCCACTCTCTAACTCTGTCCACTCTGCAACTCTGCCCACTGTGTGGCCCTGTCCACTTTGTCGCTCTGCCACCTCTGTGATCTGCCCACTCTGTAACTCTGCCCACTCTGTAACTCTGCCCACTGTGTGGCCCTGCCCACTCTGTAACTCTGCCCACTGTGTGGCCCTGCCCACTGTGAGGCCCTGCCCACTCTGTAACTCTGCCCACTGTGAGGCCCTGCCCACTGTGAGGCCCTGCCCACTGTGTGGCCCTGCCCACTCTGTAACTCTGCCCACTCTGTAACTCTGCCCACTGTGTGGCCCTGCCCACTGTGTGGCCCTGCCCACTCTGTAACTCTGCCCACTGTGTGGCCCTGCCCACTGTGAGGCCCTGCCCACTCTGTAACTCTGCCCACTGTGTGGCCCTGCCCACTGTGTGGCCCTGCCCACTCTGTAACTCTGCCCACTGTGAGGCCCTGCCCACTGTGTGGCCCTGCCCACTGTGTGGCCCTGCCCACTCTGAGGCCCTGCCCACTGTGAGGCCCTGCCCACTCTTGTGGCCCTGCCCACTGTTGAGAGGCCCTGCCCACTCTGAGAGGCCCTGCCCACTCTGAGAGGCCCTGCCCACTCTGAGAGGCCCTGCCCACTCTGTGAGGCCCTGCCCACTCTGTGTGGCCCTGCCCACTCTGACATCACCCCCATCGCGACCAAAACGCGGGCGGTCGTGGAGGGGAGGACGCAAATACCGCGGATTTCACTCTCCCAGCGGTTGTCTGTGTTGGAGGTGAGATGGGCCTTGTCGCCGCTGCTGCTGCTGTGCCTCTGCGTCGTTTCAACAGCCCCTCGGCGCTTGTGTGTGAAATGACTACCAACTTTGCTTGGCGAGTAATACATCATCACAGGGGAGAGAGAGAGAGAGAGACGCGGCGGCTGGGCTAGACGCGGTTGCTTCTGGCCACCACCGCCAGTGCATTCGCCCGGACCTCAATAGGTGCTCGCTAACAATAGCACTTCGTCACCAAGGAGTCTGATGAAGGCTGTAAGCTACGAGGGTTTGGCTGTTGTCGGGTTGTGTGGCTCTTCTGCAGCGTGAGCTGATACCGAATCCTATAACTCCTCTCTCCTAACTTAAGGGTTCGGGGTACAAACATTACGCAGTTGCGAGATCGACCTCGGTTCTGTTACATAAACATCTGGGATTCATGATTTTTGTTTAAAAAAAAAAGTGTTTTGCTCTTCCAGACTTAATGTTAACCCGCATGCAATGTGCTTAAGTGAGCAAGCAAGCGAAGCTTAGGGCCGGAGTCTCATCGGCAGGGTCAGTCTTGAGACGTTTTCTTAGAATTGTTTCCATTGCTGAACTGTGGCAGATTATGTAACGTGTGGGTGTCTAATGTGATTGTATTATTGTATTATGTGTACGGATGCTATTGCTACACGTGCTTTAATCGCCATCGGTCATGATCAGCCCACTGCTGGATGAGGGAGTAATTTAATTTCGCATGCTGCCTTAATTTAAACTCGACAGCTAATAGCGGCGTTGGATTTCCACGTGCTCAATTTTGTGATGAATTGACTGTGTTGATGTTAAGCTTAACCCTGCGAATGCTTCACGTGCGTCAATATTGCATACGCGACATTGTGTGCACTATGTAATTAACATGCAAAATATGTAAGGTATGCATTGGTGATTGATTATTGGTTTAACACTGCCGTGGTATAACCGTGGATTCTGTAATATGCTGTAAACATTAAAATCATTTTATCTCTATGCCGAGCGTTACTGAACACAGTTATCAGCGATGCACACACACATTGGTCTATAACACATTGGTCTATAACACATTGGTCTATAACACATTGGCCTATAACACATCGGTCTATAACACATCGGTCTATAACGCTTGTTGTGACCTTAAAAGAAACAGATTAATGTTAAGAAGGGTCATTTCCCGAAACGTCGCCGATTATGTACAGCCTGCTTTAGTACAGAATTGATGCAATTTTGCATGCTATAAAGTAATGTACATTGTAAATGTACTGTGTGCATTATGCTAAAGTGTGTAAACTATAATGTAATTTACTATAGTGCATGTACAGTATTTAGTTGTGGTAGTCGGTACTCTATTAAGCAGCGTATCAACTACGAATAATTAAGTATGTGTCCTGTATGAATATACTGTACCGAGAGTATGCATATATACTGCTCGACTTTAAATTCGAGTGAAGTACTGTAATTATGTACAATATACTATATTTAGTGTGTACATTATAGACATTGTAAGTACTGTACTGTCAATGAACACTTGAATTATTGTGTAAATATACTATTGTATATGCATTGTCGACATGTTTGGCATTATTGTACAAAATGATAACCAAGTGAGGGTTTGCTTCATCACCAACGTCGCATAAGCTCACTGACCAATTGACCGGTCCACACCCAGTACAGATTTTGTGTAACGTAGATATTAAAAACACCCGACCTTCATGCACAGTAATGATGGACCATTACCAATCTCGCTTATATTCACGTTCACAGTACGTTTGCACGATATTTTGTTCGGTATGACAAAAGGTTTAACTGTCGTTTGCTATAGATGTTCACATCATGCCTTTTACCTTCCAGAGAATGTCTTATGTGACGTGCTCTGTTGACAAATTAGACTGTAATCTCCATATATATAAAAGGCAAAGTTGTGATTGTGTGTGTCTGTTCAAAATGTTTAGCGTACTTCCCGACATGCAACAAACTGGAAATTTGCCATGTCGGTATTTTCCAGACTCTACACCATGCAAAAATTATAAAAATTGTCTTTAGTTTTTTTTTTTGGGGGGGGGGGGCAGCTCAATGTATAGATTTTTTTGCACGGCAAGTGAGCTGTGACGTCAAATCTGTCACGTGACCCGCGCATGTGGAAGCGTAACGCATTGTGGTGTAGTGGTTAGCGCGCCGCGCTACGAACCCGGCGACCCGAGTTCGATTCCCGTTCACGGCCACCACCTGTGACGATTATTTCAACCGCTTCTGGGCCTCCCCCTAGGACGACTCAGCCTCAAACGAGTAACTGCTGTGGTGTGTGAGCATTGCCACTGGGGAGACAAAGGCGGCCGGGCGTGGTGGATCCAAGTCCCGGGTGAAGCCGGGTAGTACAGCTAGTGCTATATAAATCGGGGAGCAGGTTGAATCAAATGAGTATTAATAGGAAACAACTGCACTCAAACTTTCCAAGCCATGCGTTCTTCAGTCTGTCATCTCCAAACCGGGATTGAAATTTATTTCCATAAATTCGCCCGTGTAAACTCATACAGAGGCGCTCGCATCTTCACTGCTCACCTTTTCCATCTGCCTGACATCCCCTGACGTGTGTCTACGTTCTTTGATTTGTCTTGTCCAGCTGTGCCACCCTGCGACACGAGCCCCTCTTAAATCGACTCCCGGATGCTGCGGGAGCTGAGACCCGGTCATGTGCACAGCTCCAGCCACGGCGAGGGTCTTCGCTGTCATCGTATTGGGCATGTGGCTGGTAATGACATCATCCTCCACAACTCAGTTCTTTTTCCCTTAACAGCGCAGTTTATACAGTATATTAATAAGTAATAGTTATTTATTTAGACCTTTAATCATCATGTGCGCCCCAGTGGCAAGATGTTAGCTCCCTCGCATTATATGGAGGACGTTGTAGGTTCTATCCCGACGCCTGTATATTTGGAGTTTGCCTGTCCCTCCCGGTCGTTGTGTGGCTCTTTATACGGGTCCTCCGGTTATTCCCTCCACATTTGAATCAACGTGCATTTAGAGTATTTGGCTCCTATAAATGTCCACATGATAAGCCACTTCATTGAGATACAGTGGTACCCCGGAGATCGAACTTAATTCGTTCCAGAAGGCCATTCGAACACCGGTTCGAACACCGAATTAATTTTCCCCATAATAATTAATGTAAATGACATTAATTGGTTCCAGACACAAGCAATCTCTCATAAAGCATTTTTTCACGCAGTTTACAGTAATTACATGCATAAAATCATACCAAAAAAACAATAAACAAATACATGGACTAAATGAATAAATATATGGAATAAATGAAATAAATGAACATTGAACTTGACTTTACCTGTAGTAAGGAGAGTTGATGGCTTGAGTGGAAGGTGGTGAGGAGGAGGTGGTAAAACCTTTGTCTGGGCAAGCGTCATGCACGCTGGCCATACGCGTCTCAGCCATACAGGTTCTTTCAAGTCGCGATTGGCCGTTCGACCTCCGAATTTCGTTCGGTTTCCGGGGCAAAAAATGTTGGGAAATATCGTTCGAACACCGATTTGTTCGAGTTCTGGTGCGTTCGGTCTCCGAGGTTCTACTGTATCATTTTTGGCCAGGTCACTTCTGAAAAAGAGCAATATAGCTCAGTGGGCCTTACCTGGTAAAATAAAAAAACAGTTTATAGTTCGGTTTAGTTTTATCATGCTTTTGGTGTTTCTTAAATATTTTGTTGGAAAATAAAAGACGAGCGCGATAATCATGATATTTTGCAAAACAAACAATATGATTAGCGTGGTTCCTATATCGCAAGGTATATATGTATATAGACATACTGTATTACCATGTACTTTTATTTTGTCAGTGCTGCAATAATAATTACTGCCCTTTGCCAATCTACTTGAAGAAGGCTTCCCCATGCCATGCAGGTTTTTGGAGTTTGACCATACTTCATGCTGATCAGTGCGGGCTGCTGAAGTTTCCTTATTTATATTCTTTATTTAGCATGTAAAAAATCACCCCCACAGGTTGGATTAATCTCTAGGCATCACGAGATATAATTTTCACACTATTGTAATGCATGTGGAATACATAATTTAACACGTAGGATTTCGTGACCAATATAATCCATAACAGAGGTGTTTGGGTTAGATCGCATAAATATATAAATGTGTCGTTAAAACCCGCCACCACCCGACACAGCCAACTTGTAAGGGTTGTCACGTAAACAGAACATGCCAATTTGTCACAAACTGAGTGACGTTTCACCAGTAATTACAACTAGCTTCATCAGGCGACAGCCAGATTTGTGGAGAAGTCTTACTGTTTTGTTCCTTATATAGAGGCGTAGATGTGTGGACCACCCTACGCCTTGATATAAGGAACGATCTACTCAGTTTGTTAATGTTGTGGCTTGGCTCACCAACACACCGGTGTGCTGTACTAGTGATGAATTGGCATGTTCTATTTACATGACAACCCTTACCAGTTGGCTGTGTCGGGTGCTGGCGGGTTTTAACGGCACATTTATATATTTACGTGATCTAACCCAAAAACATCTTATGGAATACATAATGGCTGCAACCTGTAATGCTTCATTACACAGGTAGTGTACACATTTCTGACTTATATGAATCGGAAGTAATCAATTGTTCCACTTAAGAATCAAGACACATTGTTGTGGGAGTGAAAAATCTATTTTAATTGATTAAAACAGAAATGTAGGTGCCTTGTTGGCGGTTGTCTGCACAGGCACATCTTAAACATTAACCTACCACATTTGTTCATAGTTTATTTTTTCTTCCTGACCTATTCTATTTCAGCTAAAGCATTTGTTTACTAATATTTACTGCTGTAATGTTTTAATTCATTTGTCAGTGGTCGCCAATCAGTACATTATCATCACCACCACCACCACCACCAAGCACATGGCTGCTGAAGCTTTATTTTAATATATCTTCCCGTTTGTTTTTCTTTCAATCAGTGTTTCTTGTGTTATCAAATGCGAATAATGGTAATATATTGTAGTTACAAATAAGACTGAAGGCGTGCTGAAAAGTCTAATGAGATGGAAGGTGGCATGTGCCGCAAATATCCCAAGAGTATCAGCTGGAGATGGTTATGCATGGGTGATGGGCAGGGAAAGAGGAAGCCAATGGATCAGTTGGTGGGATAATGTGAGCAAAGGGACAGGACTTTCCATGAGAGACACTGAAGACTGCAGATAATAGAAACCATCTGCTGTCATGCTCATCGACCCCCAGTTATGATGATGACATAAGATAGGTTAAACCTATCAGGGTATGAAGCTGTTCTGCCAAAGTATTCTTTTTCTTGGCAGCAGGAGGATAGTTTGTTAGGTGAAACACATCAATGATTTCTGCCGTTGTCAGGATTTCTGGGCGCTCATATTTTTCTACTGCTAATCAGAGCTCCAACATGCATTATTAATCAGGCACAAGTGCGATCTCTCCTGATCTCAGCTTGACTGCTCCACAATCTCACAGTGGAAACCTGTCAGGACAAAAAACTACTCTTCGCATGATGAAAATCATTTGCATATGCAGGGCATTAACTTTTCATGATACTCTGCGAGTTTTCCTGCTGTTTGGCCATTTTTTTGCATCAAAATTGTGGAATAAGGGTTGTAGCAAAATTATTGACAACCAAAGACTCTTTTAACTATCATATTTTGTCAAATAAAATTTAAACTGCATATAAGCACACCCTTTGGCAGCAAATCCAGGTGTGCTTATATTGGAAGTGTGCTTGCAAGATTCCCATTTTGCATTTCCTCCACCATTGTAATGTGATAAATAGAAACACACAGATGAGGAAATAGCATCAGTTTAAAGACATAATTATAACTGTTAAGGTAAATGGGCTTTGGGCAGAATGTGTCACTGGAAGGGATGATTGCTGATGTTCTGGAATAACGATGATAGAGTGGCAGCCGAGGAACGGAGCACATCTGACAAAACGTGCACCTTGAAGGTAAAGCGATCAACTTGGTTTTGCGTGCAGGTGCTCAGCGGATTATTACCTCACCGGATCGTGAGAGATGGCGGGCGGGTGGGCTAGAGGAGCCCTTCACCCAGCATTGGATTTGCAGTGGCTGCTCGTGCTGAGTGGGGTGTAGCGGTGGCGCAGTAGTTTGCGCGCTGCGCTCCGAAACCGGGGACCCGAGTACGATTCCCACTCATGGGCCAACACCATTGTCGATTATCTGAATTGGTCCTGAACCTTCCCGAGGATGACTCCGACGGGCGAGCATGGCGCTGGCCACCCACCCCTCGACCCCCTCATGTTTTCAGAAAAATCTATAGATAAAACAATACTGTACCTGCGTATTCCTGGATTTATCTAAAGCGTTTGATGCAGTAGACCATAGCATCTTATTAAATACACTTAGAAGCCTACGATTCACTGAGCACACAGTTAATAGTTTTAAAAGCTACCTCTCTTCACAAACTCAGATTGTATACACTGGTAACCTGGTGTCAAACACAATTGAAATCACTAAGGGTGTACCTCAAGTTTCCATTCTTAGAGCTATCTTGTTCTCCCTTCATATCAATGACTTGGGTACACCATTTGAACATTCTGATGTTAACGTCTTTGCGGATGACACTATTTTGATAGGTGCTGGCCACTCCCCTGAAGATGCGTACAGGAAATGACAGCGATTTTAATACAATTCAACTAATCTCACGTAAGCTGGTTCTGAATGACAAATCAAAAGTGATTTGTTTTTCTCCAGGAAAATACAACCAGCAATTTTTCCGAAGCTATGCACAATCAAATTAAACAGTTTGATCAAATAAATTACCTTTGGGTCATTATAGACTCTAAACCCACTTTCCAGGATCACATTGAATGCACTGAGAGGAATGAAAAATACTAAACTAGCTTTATCTGCAGACATAAACATTGCTTCCCAGCTAAGTTTCGGTTAGAGTTGGTAAGGGCTACCTTGCTACCATTATTTTATCACTGTGACATTGTGTACCAATCCTCAAATACAATGCTGAATAAGCTCATTTTCACTTATCATTCCACCTTGCTCTGGATGCCCCTTATAAGACCTGCCATTGTGACTTGTACATAATTGCAGAACGATTCGCCAGGTGTTGTTTATTTACAATATCCTTAGTGGTAATTCGGTAGAATGTTTGTTGGATCTGTTGACACGAGAGTGGCAGACCTAACCTGAAGAGTTTATCACTCCTGTTAAACGTTGCCAGATATAAAACAAGTTTTGGTGAAAGAGCATTTTCAGTCGCTGCCCTTAGTCTCTCGAAGAATATTACCACAAAACTTGGTCTGCAGTCATTGTCGTCGATCAATCACTTTACTTTTTTAATTTCAAGTGAATCCTGCTGAGCTGCTAATGTATAAAACATTAGACGCGGTATAAATATTAATTGCCGGTAAGCGACCACTCTGTGTGCAAATTTTGATTTAAAGCTTTCGTGACTGCAGGGATTCATATTATTGGTTCTTTCGTTAAAGTCACGTAGAAGGGAAACAATAAAATAATAAAAATATATACGCGACTTTACCGAAAGAACCAAGAATATACACTCTGTGTGCGTTATTTACACTAAGTTTTTTATGGATGCTGTGTTTTTTTATTCCTCAATATAACGCCATCGTTTTTGAGACTGAATCTCCATTACATTTACTATAGCAGATTTAAATTGGTAATTTTTAGAGGTACAGCGTGGTATTTGATAATAATTGAAATTGAACTTCATATTTCTTAAACAT